CCAATCATTTTATGCATTATACGTAGATCTATATGGTTCGTGTCACGGGGGCCATGGCAGGGACATATCCTTGGCCATACTGTGTCCCTCGTTATCATTTCAGAAAGTTGAAAGTTATGATTTAAGTAGTACTGTAACCTATAAAAAAAATTGTAAAAAATACACTGATAAGCCTAATGCCAAAAGGTCTTCAACTGGTAAATGCTCTGAACAGCAGTGTGTACAGCAAACTTTTTGGGCTGCATTCACAGTTCTGTACATGCAATGTTGCCCATGTCTAACCATGTGTGATACGTGTTAAGGTGTGGTACAACAAAATGAGGTGTTTGCACTATGGAATGCATTGCCATTCATTTTTGGCCCACAGTGCACATAAAGGCACAAAACATTGCATCTGACTCTGAAGACAACAAAAAGACAGGTACATTTACTGATCTGTGGATGTGCATTGTGGGCCAATTTAAAATAAATGTGGATTGGGGATATTAAAGTGTTACTAAACCCAGAACCTTGCATTCAGTATATCTGGTTTCCCACAATACACATAAAATGAAAATGCAATTACTTTAGTAAATATAAACTGCTAAATAACTTTTCTTATCAGCGGTTAGAGCAGTCTTGTGACTTCAGCATAGCACTGGTTAAAGCTTGTAGGAGGAGTTTTCTTTCTGCTCTAGGAGGATACAAAACCCCTAACCTCTTGTCTGGACAGTGCCGATTGGCCCTGTGCTGATCACATGCACTCTTCCAAAGAAAAAAAAACCCACCTCTCTAGCAATACACACTAAACTGAGCATGTGCAGAAGGGCTATGGGTTCAGTCTGTCCTAACAATGTGGACATTTGAACAAGAGGAGGGGCAGAGAAGTCAGGATCAAACAGCCTTTTTTACACAGCGCAAAGGATTAACCCCTTAGGTTCCACAGTGAGTATAACAAGCATGCTTTCCTGCATATACAGACTGTGTGGGTTTAGTAACACGTTAAGGCTATTTAAATGGCAATTAAAAAAATAATACAGACAGATATATAGTTACCTGTTCTGTGCAATGAAATTGCACAGAGCGGCCCCAAACCTCCTCTACTCGGGTCCCCTGCCTTGTGTAAGCTTGCTCCTGAGCCCTGCTGCCTATCTTTAGACCTAGGGGTCAATTCACTAAATGTTACCACATGCGGTACGATAAAATAAGGCACATTTGTTAAAAATAAATAAAAAAATAGTGAGATAAATACCGCAAAAAAAAAAAAAATGAGATAAATCATCAAAGTCAATTCATTAAAAAACACACATATTCGTTATTTATCACCTGGTGTTTGTTGGCGGTATGTTAGAAATGTACAAAATAACAATTAGGCCTCTTTCACACGAGAGGTTGTTCTGCCGTTTGTAAATGCATATTTTTTTTATTTTGAAATTCCAACACTCCTGGCACAGAGATCGCTTGTGTTTGTACATTGCGTTTATCTGCGATTACGTGCATTTACATGCGGCTGCGTTTAGCTGCCTTTTTTATAGCAACTGTTTACCTATTTTTCTTTGTACTGCGATTACCTGCATCTATGTACAGATAGCTGCGGAACATCGCTCCTGGACACTGTCAACTTTATTTTTCCTAAACGCATAAAACCATATGTTATGTAAATGTTGCTAAACGCAGTGTGTGAATGGAGACATAGGGATGCATTGTCTGCATTTAGCTGCGGTTAGGCTCCATGCACACTGGGTGTTTTGATAACACTGGTAATGTTAGCTGTGTAAAATCACGTTAAAAATTTTTATGAGTTTTTTTAGCATTTTTGCATTAGCGTTTAGCGTTGTTTTGCCGCATTTAGCGGCGTTTTCTCACGTTTTTTCACATTTGCGTTTTTTAGTTCTAATGGCACTCTGCCCGCCCTGGAAAATGCAACCGTACTGGGAACCAAGGTTCCCCTGTGGACTGCGTTTTCAGAAGTGCAGGGACTTCTTCCCTGCGTGTCATGGGGCTTGGGAGTCCATTCAAACGAATGGGAGCTCGTGCCCACGCAAAACATATATGTGAACCAGGGCTTAGAGGAACTCTGCACTGGCCAGAAAGTGAAAAGTATACAATGTATCAATGTGAAAATGTTCTCCTCTGAGCTCAGGAATGAAAATAAATTGGAACATTTCATCAGAGGGAGGTCATTTTGTGAATGGAAGCACACTAGAATGTTTTCATAGTTTCACATAATTGCTGTATACCAGCTTGCAAAAGAAAATTGCGAAAAAACAACTCCAAAAATAATGCAAAATTTAAGTGCTTAAATATCGCAAAACATACATATATAACGCATTCTGTAAATAACGCATGATTTTTAGTAGATTAACTACTTTTTGAAATAAATAGATTGTAAGCTTGAAAGAGTAGGGCCCTCTTACCCCTCGTACGCTGTCTGTTTTTGTTGTACTGTGCCATGTATTGTCCCCCCTATTGTACAGCGCTGAGCAAACCCTTTGGCGCTATATAAACTCGATGTAATAATAATAATAATAATAATAAATACTGCGTGAGTTATTTTTACCCAAAAATGTATGCGGTATTTATCTCTTAGTGAATTGGCCCCATTGATAGTGAGACTTGGGCCCGCCCCCCTACTGCCTTGTCACTGGCTTTGATTGACAGCAGCGGGAGCCACTGGCAAAGCCTGTGAGACCAGAAATTGAGAAAAGAGATGAAGACTGGCACAGCAGTGGATCGAATGAGGGCTCAGGTAAGTATATGTGGGGTGGGGGGTTGTGGTCATACTACTACCTAAAAATTTTTTATACCTTAATGCAACAAATTCATTAAGGTAAAAAAAGTTTAGGCTTTATAACCACTTTAAGCACAAATCTTAGTGGGAATGCTGATTGCGCTATAAATGGTTACAGCATGGCTCTCCAGTTCTAGGAGGACGACCCTGGACATCCTCCCACATGTGCGACTCCTGCGTGCTCCCTGGGGCACGCTCTGTGATGGCTGTGTGATTTGGATTGCTGTGTGATTGGATCACATATTGGGGTAAAGGGCCAATCACAGCTGCCCTTTACTATATGATCAGCTGTGTCCAATCACAGCTGTCAAAATATAAACAGGTTTGCTGGTTATCAGCTCTCCTTTCCTCACCTCAGACAGCATGTGAGGAAAGGAGAGCTGATCTGTAAGGGGCACAATGAGTACATTATTTACACTGACAATAAGTTTCTTGACGATCAATGCCCTGGTTAGCAGTGCAGCCCCATCAGTGCCCATCAGTGCCTCTTAATAGTGCCCATCAGTGCAGTTTAACATTGCCCATCAGTTCTACCTATCAGTGACCATCAGTGCAGCCTCATCATTGCACATCAATGCAGCCTCATCAGTACCCATCAGTGCAGCCTCATCAGTGCACATCAGTGCAGCCTCATCAGTGCACATCAGTGAAGAAGCAAAAAATACCTATTTGCAAACTTTTATAACAGAAACTAAGAAAAAAACATGTTTTTTTTTCTCAAAATATTTGGTCTTCATTTATTTAGCAAAAAACAAAAACCCTAGTGGTGATTAAATATCTCCAAACGAAAGCTCTGTCTAAAAAAAAAACATACGTTTTTCATTTGGTTGCATGTGTTGCAGTGTTGCATGACTGAGTAATTGTGAATCAAAGTGTGACAGCACTGAAATTTGAAAATTAGCCTGGGCAGGAAGGGGGTGAAAGTGCTTGGTATTGAAGTGGTTAAACATGATGTTGGCATGTAGTTCTGAACATGCTGCTAGCAGCTTGTGTAATTAAAGTGATAGCAGTCCTACTAAAATTCATTTTTAATATCCTCAAACTGGAGCTGCATGGTGTTCATTGGATTCAATACATTTTGACGAGCTGGCTGAAAGTCTTGCAAATGCTGGCTGTGTATATGGTTTTTAGGCCAATGTGTACCAAGTCCTGCCTGAGCAAAACTATTTTTGAAGTAACATAATTGATGATATTCTTCATAGTGGAGAACTCATTAGCCGCAGTCCCGACTGATAGACTCCATGGTGATGTAGTTTCAGCAGTAGAGGGCATCAGTGGCAGCCTCCATGCTTCTCTCAGCACTGGCTTACTTTTAGGCTAGGTTCACACCTATGCAGCTATTTATTATTTTTGCATTTGATCTGTTTCTGCAGTGTGGTTTTGCACATGTGTTTTGATGCGTTTCTGATGCATTTTGCGCTTTTATTTATTTTTTTGGCTAACTTGTTGCTTGGCAAATTAACACCACAAAACACATAAAAAAGACGTAAAAAATGCGTCAAAAAAAACACGGCAAACCTGCACACAAAATGCATCACTTATATGTGGTTCCATTGAAGTGTATTGGACTAAAAAGGCAAACTGTTGCGGGAAAAGAAGTCCCTGACCCTTTCCAAAAAACACGCCCGCAAAAAACGCATGGATGTGAACGTGATCTATAAGAAATCATGATAAATGGCCAGCGAACAGGTGTGAACCTGGCCTTACACAAAAGACCAGCATTGTCCCTATAGTGGCAGTCCACCAATATCTGCCTCATTTGCTCTTACAAAGTAAAAGAACTTCCTACACTATTGGTGCCACTGTTGTATGTTTAACACTTTAGCATATGAGAACAGCTCCATCTATAGGCCACTCCCTGGTATGTTAATTATTTACCGATTTATTTTTTGTTTGTAAAACTTTGGCATGTTACCGACAATTTAGAGAGAATCGACTTAACCTAGCAGTATGTGTTGGGGATTGGGCATTAACAGGTGTACTTGGAGTAAACCCTGCAAATATGGGAAAAACATACATAATAAAAGTGTAATTAACATTAAAGCTGTATTGAATTCAAAAACATAAATGTAATCTATTGCATTTTACCAATCCTTCAATGTGATGACTGCATTAGTTTTCTTCTTTTAGGCATACTTCTTTTTGTTTTCACCTGGTGATTCGGCCAGTAACCCACTTCCTGTCTGAGCCCTCGTTCACATATATGCGGCTGTGTGGGCCACATTTTGCATTGGCACGAGAGGCCATTCATTTGAATGGACTCCCGTGTCCTGTGACACGTAGGGAAGAAGTCCCTGCACTTCTCCTGAAAATGCAGCCCGCACGGGAACCTCGGTTCCCAGTACGGTTGCGTTTCCCAGTGCGGGCTGCGTGCCATTAGAACTAATGGCACCCACCCGTGGGTCCTCATTCCTCTGTGCGGGTGGTGTGGCTGCACGGATTTTCGCGCGGATCTACAGCGGCACCACCCGCACAGATGTGAACCTAGCTTTAAAGTGGTAGTAAAGTCTTTTTTTCTCTTGCACCTACAGGTAAGCCTATAATAAGGCTTACCTGTAGGTACAGTAAATTCCTGAAAGTGTACCATTCAGGAAATATTTACCTTAGCAGCACCGGTGATGTCACCGGCACTTGTACACTGCGCTCTCGATGGAAAGCATGCCATCCACTGAGAGCTGTGCTGTGGCCAAGGCTCCTGCACACATGTGTGGGAGTGACGTCATCGTGGCTTGGTCAGTCGAACAGCCACAGCCTGCGAACTCGGAAGGAAGACTGGGTGAAGATAGAAGCCCTGGGGAGCCGAGACAGTGCACCACTGGAAGGCTTTGTTTTCAGGTAAGTCTGTCATAATGTGCTAGTATGCAATGCATACTAGTACATTATTCTCTTAACTTGCAGGGAGATTTTTTTTTTTTGCGGTTTACTACCACTATTAAGATGTCTCCACCTTAGGAGCAACAGAGACACCCAAAGGCTGTAGCATTGTTACTCTGGGGAGAAGGTAGTGTTAGAGTCAGATACACAGAAACAAAGAAGAGTGACAGTAGAAAACAAAAGACCAAATGGTCCACTGTGTCTGGCCTTTTCTTATAGAACTTTTTTGTTTGCTTTATTTGCTTTGAAAAAAGAATGTGTACATGCTGTGGTATCATAGGTTGCAGTAATGTGCACATTGCCACAAAATAATGGTATGAACCAACCTTAAAGAAAATTCTAATAATAATGTAGTAATAATAACAATAACAATGAAGGTATAGATATAGACTTTACTAACACTAAAGATTAAATCAAAACTTCTAACCTGCCTGTCTGAAACTTTCAGATAGATTAGTGTCAATGATTGACTAGTATCCATTCACTAGAAGTTAGTAGAACAATACACTTTTGTCTTGTGAGTTTGTGATTAGGTTACCTTTCAGTATAAAGAAAAATGTCACAGGCCAGCATAGCTTTTTGTTGTTGTTTTGCTTAAGGTGCTTTAGGTCATATTAATTTTTACATTTTTATTTTACTGTTACCTGTTATATTTGTTAGGGGGGAAATCGGATAAACATATTCTTCTTCCAGAATATTCCCTAAGTTCCTAAAGTACAAGTATACCTTTTACTGCTACTGTTGGATGTGACATATTTTGGAAAGTTTGAGATTTCCTAGAATAGAAATCGTTTACTACCTTGTTAGCCTCTTGCCCTCCTGAGGATTTACCCCACCCCCCCCCCTCTTCCTGACCAGGCCATTTTTTGCAACACTGCACCCAAATTAAATTTATGTCCTTTTTTTCCCACAAATTGCAATTTTTTTCGGTGGTATTTGATCTCCTGTGTGTTTTTTTATTTTTTACGCTATAAAAAAAACCTGACATTTTTGAGAAAAAAACATTATTTTTTACTTTTTGCTATTAAAAAAATTTGTAAAAAATTACAAAAAAAAACAAATTTAGTCATAAATTTAGCCCAAAATGTATTCTGCTACATGTCTTTGCTAAAACAAAAACACCAATATGTGTAAATTAATTGGTTTGCGTGAAAGTTATAGTGTTTACAAATGAAAATATATATACTGGTATTGTTTTTATTTTTAACTAGTAATCAGCAACTTATTGCAGGCGGGCATTCTGACACTGGAAGGAACTGACTTGGTGTCACTGACATCCCCAGTGACACCAAATCAAAGCACTGACACTAATGGCACTGGGCAGGTAGGGGCTAACATGTGGAGCGATCAAAGGGTTTAACTGTGTGCTGTTTTACTATGTGGGCTGTTTGTGTGTGCTTCACTGTCTGCGCTGTGCACAGCCATTCAAAGCAGTGTGCATGAGCTGACAGGGAGGAGAACTGTTTTGTTTGCAAACAGTTCTCTCCCCCCCCCCCCCCCCCCTCCATCTGAGATGCTCTTTAATTACCAGGCGCTGGTGAGTAATCACCAGGCAGGGACCCGGTGAATGACAGTCGCGATTTTGCTCATGTGATTTTGCGCACCCGTGCCACCCTGTAGCAGTATTTCTGCTATAGGGCGGCACAGAAGTGGTTAAAGAAGCCTGCTAAGACCGGGTTGACACCCTCAAGATCACGGAACACTATATTGCCAAAAGTATTGGAACGCCTGCCCTTACACACACATGAGCTTTAATGGCATTCAAATCTTAGTCCGTGGGGTTCAGTATTGAGTTGGCCCACCCTTTGCAGCTATAACAGCTTCAACTCCTCTAGTTAGGCTGTCCACAAGGTTTATGAGTGTCTCTATGGGAATGTTTCACCATTCTTCCAAAAGTGCATTTGTGAGGTCAGGCACTGATGTCGGACGAGAAGGCCTGGCTCGTAGTCTCTGCTCTATTTCATCCCAAAGGTGTTTCTATCGGATTGATGTCAGGACTCTGTGCAGGCCAGTCAAGTTCCTCCACCCCAAACTTGCTCATGCATGTCTTTATGGACTCTTCTTTGTGCACTGGTGCACAGTCATGTTGGAATAAAAAGGGGACATCCCTAAACTGTTCCCTCAAATTTAGGAACATGAAATTGTCCAAAATGTCTTGGTATGCTGATGCCTTAAGAGTTCCTTTCAATGGAACTAAGGAGCCAAGCCCAACCCCTGAAAAACAACTCCACACCATAATCCCTTCTCCACCAATCTTTACACTTGGCACAATGCAGTCAGCCAAGTACCATTCTCCTGGCAACCGCCAAACCCAGACACGTCCATCAGATTGCCAGACAGAGAATTGTGATTCATCACTCCAGAGAACATGTCTCCACTACTCTAGAGTCCAGTGATGGCGTGTTTTACACCACTGCATCCGACGCTCTGCATTGCGCTTGGTGATGTAAGTCTTGGGATGCAGCTGCTCCACTATGGAAACCCAATCCATGAAGCTCTTTACATACTTGTTGTGCTAATCTGAAGGCCACATGAAGTTTGGAGGACTTTAGCTACTGATTCTGCAGACTGTTGGCAACTTCTGCAGATTGTGTGCTTCAGCATGTGCTGACCCTGTTTTGTCATTTTACGTGGCCTACCACTTCGTGGCTGAGTTGCTGTTGTTCCAAGTTGATTCCACTTTGTTATAATACCACTAACAGTTGACCGTGGAATATTTAGTAGCATGGAAATTTCACAGATGGAATTGTTGCACAGGTGGTAACCTATCTCGGTACCACTCTTCAATTTACTGAGCTTCTGAGGGTGACACATTCTTTCAAAAATGTTTGTAGAAGCAGCCTGCATGCCTAGGTGCTTGATTGTATACACCTGTGTGTATGGAGGTGATTGGAACACCTGAATCCAACGATTTGGAGGGCAGGCCCAATACGTTTGACAATATAGAGCATATAAACTCAACGTGCTGGCCTCTATGAATAAATGATTGTATATATACATATAAATTTATAACTATTGAGTGTCCAAGAAAAAAAGTCTGCATTAGACTTCAACCAATAGTGCAGTCTATGATGAGATTTTGCAATATTCTTCCAAGGAGATTAATGCACAAATCAGTGCCGTGCTCCCTTCCTGTGTTCACACACTCATCAGCAGCTGTGGACTCTTACATACAATGTTAAGAGTCTAGTGTGCATATACTGCAGATCCCTTGGTATAGCTGGGACTTATGTTTCTCCTTACCAATCTGTGTTAACAGGACTCAAAGGCTGGAGACTATTGGTGACGTCACATCTGGCCGATGGAATGCATGTTGGTGCATCACTTCCAGTTCGGCGTTCTGTACCTTTTCTATCTGATTTAATGTGAGTGCAACCTATTTTTTTGTGTTATTTTAATACAAAATGTAATTATGCTATGTGAGCCCCTCTTGCCAATCCTTTTTCATGTGAGAGCACACCAGCCTTTGGGATTTTCGTTCACTTTTTATGTTAATGGTAAACATGACAAATAAAGAGCATGAATCTCCCTATCAGGGCACAGACAACAATACAAACTTGGGGTTCTGATCCCCCTCTACTGATACAAACTGTCGATATTTTACTTTGAATTTGGCGTGTTCATTGGGACATTTTAGCACTACCTGAATTTGGTTATGAATCGCTATCAGAACCAAAAGTGTTGCAGATGCTTCATGAATTTGGCACAATACACTAACATGAGGGATTAACGCCAGAAAAGTGGCACAGCAGCTTTATTGAATCCCCCCATTGTTTTTAGGTGCAGCTTTTGACAAAACATGTTGTCATGCAACTTGCTGCATTTTCCAGAATAGAATGTTAACTGTTTGCTCATACACACCAGCATGTTGAACTGAGGTTTGTTGGAGAAAAACTCCTGTGTGTTGCCTTTCGTGGTGCAGTGACACCCCATTTTTCCATTCATGTCTACAGAACAGGATACATACTTACAGCTGAATGTAAATGAATAATAAACTTGTTATACTTAATTGCAAAGGTATTTCATGGAGCAGCCCCTTATCTCCCCTCGTGTGGGGGTCCCCACTGGCATTCTCAGCTCCTCCTCTTCTCCTGTAGCAAGCCGTCTGCTGTAGGGGTAGTCATGCAGAGATGCTCCTGAGGTAGGCTGTGTGTCTATAGACACATATAGCTACCTCTTCACAGGATTTGACTGACAGCAGCAGGAGACAACAGCTCCCATTGCTCTCAGCGAAGCTTATGATTGAAGAGTGAAAACCTGCAACCGGGCACAGCGCTGGATCAGTACAGGACTCGGGTACGTGTTTTGGCAGGGGGGCACTACTATTGTAAGGTTTTTTAACGAATGCATTAAGGTAAAAAAAAGGTTTTCTTTAGACCCACTTTAAGCCTCCGGTCACATCAGAGCCGATTTTGAAATTGTGCGACTTACAGTGAAGTCACACGATTTCAAAATCGGGTGACCTGCCGATTTCTGTTGTGATATGCATGCACTACTTTAGAAATCAGTGCAGTTCGAACCAAGTCAGAACCGCACCGATATGACCGCTCTAATAGCAGACAATAGAGTGCGACTTGGCATACGATTTGCAAGTCACCTGGCATGCAAATCACACCCAATGTGACCTGGGTGTAATGGATCCTAAATCATTACATGCAGTGTATGTTGTATTAATACAGGACCACATGATGGCAACACAGAGCAATTTATTAGACTGCATCTTCAGCAAAAAGCTGATTTAATTCATATTATGTTTTGGGGATTTTATCTGTAGAAGCAAATAATTGCAATGTATACATCAGACTGAGTTACCTGGTTTCAGCTAGGGTCAAAGGAGGGAGCTCTTGCTAAGAGTATGCAGGGCGATGTATTTCTAATTTTATTTATAAAAATATTTAATATTTAAAATATGTATAGACCAAAGTAATGGTACCATGGGAATGTTAATGCCTAGTCTTAACAAAAAAACTGTACACCTACTAAAAAAAACCCAAACATCTAAAGTACTCACCCCTATACATATGTACCACCCTCCTAGGTAGGTTGCTAGGATAAAAGGTAAATTTAGTTCTTTCTGGCTCCTCTGTAATCATTGGAGCAACTATTGATTTCTTTGGGCTGTTCTAGATTTCACAGGCTTGGTTTGGTTGCTTCCAGGACATAGGCAGAGGCTTCCAGAATATACAGTGGTAGGCTAAGAGAGGCAAATGGGCAGCTTTCATATTTAGTGTGCCTCAGCCAATCCCTGGGGAGGTGTGCCCAATAGGTGGCTGGGGAGAACATAAATAGTTTGGGGTCTGGAGCAGCCCTTACACTTGTCCTGCTGGAGAAGTTCCACAGGCTCTGCCCCTCTGAGGCAGTTTTTGCTGGAGTATGTTGATGTCCATCGAGGTCCCAGCTGTGACAGAGCTAGAGGACCTATTCCTTATTATCTTTGGAGCTAACCAAGCATTCTCACCTAAGGATCTGGTCTGGAGGTCTCACTGAAGAGTGCTGGGTGGAAGCTGGAAAGTGTGTAGTTGTCCTGTGTACTTTAAGTATTACCCCTCCCTCATTGGCTAGTGACTGATGGAAGCTAGAAACTGAACTGTTACCCTGAGACATAGAGACATCTGGAGGGAACAGGGGGTGTTTGGCTGTCCAGGAGAGACATTGTGAGTACTTACCTGAGCTCAGGATCCTAGTGACTGTGTTCTGTTCTGTCTTGGGATGCCAGAAGTAGGTCTCTGCCTGGGACAGCTATCATAGGGTCTCAGATACTGACCATTCCCCTATCCTCAGCAGGATTCTAGAGGGTGAGCTTTATACGGATTGCTTTCTTACACTGTGCATTGTTGCTGAAGTTGCATTAATTACCTACAGCTGTGCAATTGTGCAGGGTAACCAGGTGTCAGAGAGACTTGCCTCATGGTCCCCAGTAGGGGCGTATTTACCACAAGGCAAACAAGGCATTTGTCTAGGGTGGCATTTTTCAGGGGGGCAGCACCACTCCCCCCCTAGAAGAAGGGATGGAAGAAGGGTAATATGCGACTTGGGGACCAGGTGGGATCTGAGAGAGGCTGAGGGCTGCTTGAATCTCGTTCCTGGGGATGTCCAGAGCTGTGAAGGTGAGTTTCTTTCTCTCTCTCGCTGGAAGGGGAGTGGCCGGTGTATAGGTGCGATGGTAGTGGAAGGCTCTCTCGGGTGGGGGGCAGGGGTGTTGTTGGTCAATGTCAGGCCCTCTGGGAGGGGGGGGGGATTTTGTGTTGCCTAGGGCAGCACAAAGCCTTAATACACCACTGGTCCCCAGCTGTTAGGCTTTAACCGCTTTCCAACCGCCCTATAGTAGAACTCCTGCTACAGGGCGGCAGGGCTGCGCAAACTCATGTATATATACATGTGATTCCTATTTCTGCGCGGCTAGGGATGTCATTCACCAGGTTCCAGCCAGAGATCCCCTGCCAGCACATGGCGATCATCGGGGACAGCTGACAGGGGAGAGACCTGTGTGAAAACAACACAGGTCTCTTTCCTGGCAGCAAGGACATGCTGCTTTGTATTTCTATGCACAGCAGAGAAATACAAAGCAGCATGTCTCCCTAGTAAAACACACATAGCACATAATGTAAAACAGCACATAGTTAACCCTTTGATTGCCTCAGATGTTAATCCCTTCCTGCCCAGTGTCATTAGTACAGTGTCAATGCTTTTTATTAGCACTGATCGCTGTATTAGTGTCATTCGGATGTCAGTAGCACTTAGTGACTTCCCACCCAGTGTCAGAATGCCCTCCACAGTCCCACTATAAGTCGCTGAGCGCCATCATTACTAATGTTAAAAAAAAAAAATTCCAGATTATATACCGATTTTTTTTTTTTTTAGCAAAGACATGTAGCAGAATACATTTTGGCCTAAATTTCTGAAGAAATTAGATTTT